TGATATTTGACTGAACTAATTTGGTACAAAATAAAAAGGATATTTCTGGTTGAGCTACTGTTTTCTGGTAGAAATTTGTATGACTATGGATTATTACTTATGTTTTTAATAGTCATCAAAAAATCCAAAAGAAAAAAAAAACACTATGATAATATAATGTTAAAAAAGTGTGTTCAGAATTTTAGATCATCAGGATTTAGTGTTCGAATTTATTTGACAAGAACAAAATTACTTACTATATTACTATATAATACGGTCTGTATAATTGAATTATTAATCACGTATCTATAATCATTGATTAGAATAGGTACCTTACCTATTTCAATTATCATGTTAGTATATGATGTTTGAAATCTTGAATTGTTTTTTATCTACACATTATAGTTAATTATAATATAGTATTTGTTAATTTAAACGGAACACATCTGCATATTTTAAACACGTGCTGATAAAATCTTTTATGCTTCTAATATAAATCTCGAGAAAATTATACAATATCTTAATTTTAGATTCTGAGTGAAACGATGTATGTATTGATTTTAAAATGGTGTGTGTGTTTTTTTATTTTTTATTTTTGTGTCTGACATCACCTTTTAGGTACAGTAAAAATGGTTAGATTTTCTTCAACAGTATATTTTTTGATAGGAAAGTGAATCTAGTTGGTACTTTGGGGGGAGGGGGGGGGTCGAAAGTAAAAATTTGACAGTAGTTTTCAAAAGTGCGGTGAAAAACAAAAGAAAAAGTAAGGAAAAACGGGAATTTTTACGCAAAATATGTTTTCGAGAAAATGGATTTTGGTTTTTGGTGCAATTTTTAAACAAATGATCGTATAGGTACATGCAATTTTGACTGAATGTTTAATGAGCATTTCCTATACACCATAACATTTTACGAATATTTTGAGGTCTGTACGGACATTTTCAGTTTCCATTTTGTTTAGTTTTTTTTTTCTATAAATATCAATAGAATTTTATTTGTTGTATAAGAAAGCTTGAAAACTTAATAGAAGGCTTCTAGTATATTGTTTCGAAGGCAGATGAAAAAAATTAAAAATCCATAATCACATTTTTTTTATAACCATTTAAAGTTCAAATATTGACAAAATGTATCAAATTTAAAATTTAATAATTATTTTTTAGTTAAAAATGTATAAAATGTTCAATTTTTATAGCTAAGGATACAAAATTGAAAACAAGGTTCCACATAAAAAATAGATTGTATATAAGTTACTTCATTCACAATAATATCATCAATATTTAGTAATATCGACTGACCGTTTTCGCTCAGAATCGTTTTTCTTATATAATGATATTATATCATTGAATTCAAATTTAACACCATCCATTACAGTGATCCACTTGTAACCTACTGTGTATCAGAGCGACATCCATTTGCCCAAATTTTTATTTATAAATTTCTGTGTAAACGTAGTTCTTGATATTGTTATCATCTCGTTGTTCTCCCAGAAAAATTCGTAATGATTGATAAGATCGAATTCGTGAAAAGGAAACGTATAATTGACCATGATTGAACACATCTCTACGAAAGTCCAATCCTATTTTCTCGAAAGTCTGTCCCTGGCTTTTATTTATATGGTCATTGCAAAAGCTATTATTACAGGAAATTGTCGTCGCTTAAAAGTAAAATATGGATAAATATCTTCACAGTGTTATATGCCAACGTTATACGATGTATGAATGTAATATCTCCAGCTTTGTCACTAGCTAATATTCGACACTTAGAAAATTATAATATGCCAATTCCAATATTTGAAGCCCCGTGCCATCGCAAAAACCTTGGGCAAAATATGGATTGCGAAGTAACATTACAATACAATTATTCATTAACTTCAATTCATATGATGGAAAGTTTGGCGGATTCAAATATTCAGGCAATACAACCTCAGTAATATTTCCATTATCGCAGTTTTCTGTACTATCCATACCAGAATAGAAAGTGTACTATTTAGTAAAAGATCGTTTGCCATTGAAATCAAGTACAATTTGTAATTGTAATTGTATTTGCATTTAATTAGACTTAAAATTATCGGTTCAATAAAATAAATTTCGACGACGTTTGCTTATATATGCTTGACAACAGTAAAATAACAAGTGCTTGACAACGAAAAGAGTCCACAGGAGAGAAAGGGTAATTTTTATTAAAGGAATAACTATAAATAAGAATATGTATATAAAATAGTACCTAACAGTAGTGATAATAATATATATTTCAACAACGTTTTAATTCATACAATTTTCATATAGATCACAAATAAGTAATGGAAAATATGCATTTACACATTTTAAAGACCAAAAAGTAGACCATTAAAAATAGCAACGATTCATCGTAAAATACAGAAAATGAACTTAAAATTCAAACCAAGTTCCAAGAACATTTTCCAACCATCAGTAGTGAGTACCTTATATTTGTTTGCATTAAATTTTAAACTGAAAATCTATGTTCAAACTTTGGTGAAGTTATCGTTATAATTATAACTTTCATACGCAAGTACCTACTTATTAAATTATATAATACGTGAAATAATAAAACAAAATAATATTTTCACTCGATAGAATTTTGCTTTTTTCAGAGTTTGTTTTCAAATTACGAGTACCTATAACATAAAGTATATATTTATTATTTTAAAACATTTTCCTCGACGTTGTTTATTTCAATATTTGCTATTATTTTTGGTGAAACACTAATGTAGTTCGACGCACGTCATAGTACTTATAGACACTTCCCAATGCAATGTATTATTTAATATATTTTTTGAAGAAGGTGAAATCCCTTTATTTAATATTTAATATATTTTTTACCTACTGTACATTACAAATAAGTGTAATATTTGTTTGGATGAAAAATATTAGCAGAGCTATATATTTAAAACATATGACTTTAAAAATTGTGTGCGAAAATTATTAAATACGTCAAACAAACTTTATTTTATGATATTTTTTTATACGTAATATTGTTCTAATAGGTTCTTTGAAAATTGATCAATACACATTTTTTGAAAATAAAGTCATTAAAACTAAATTCTACAAGTTTTCTTCGTAAAAAATAAAATTCTAATATATTGATGTTGATGGCACCATAAATACTATCCACGTGATAAAGTATATAAAAATTAAGATCTGAATATATTTTAGTTCAAAAAAAATTCTTTAAGTTTATTATTTCTTAAATGTAATTTTGTTTGGTTAAATTACATTAGCCACGATAATGTATTAATAAAAAACAAATAACGAGAAATGGTATGTATTATTGGAATTCAAAACTGAAAATATTTAAATATCTACAACTATGACGTAAAAAATATCTTTAGACTGATAATTTAAAATCGTAAACGTTTAATGTAAGTAGGTAAATTGAACTAAATACACCAATAAATTGAGCTATTTTTCTTTGTATAAAATACAAAACTAATTCTATAATTTTAATTGTTAAGAAATATTAATTAAATATATTTTATATAAAGTTCATGCATAACATCGATTATAATTATATGACTTGTTAAATGTTTAAAATAAGAATATAACGAAATAAAATATAATCTGTAAATATTCTATGGCAGGGGTCGGCAACCCGCGGCAGGCAAAGCAATTATTGATGGCCCGCACAAAGGTGGTTAATTTTTGTGTTTTATTTTTGTTCAATAACATTATTTATATAATTTTCAATATTTTATAATTCTTTTTCCTTTATAAATAAAATCTAAATTACCGTTAATAGTTAATGTTTATTCTATACAGTTATATAGTCAGTTTAATCTATAAAATTATTATTATCTAATCGGAGTTGAAGATAATGATGGCTGCTCATACTACTCAGTCATATTCATATAGTTACTTTGAGTTTGTAGCGATAAGTATTACACGGTACGTGTGACTGTTTGCGTTTGTAATATATAGTGCGTTTGTAATATAGTTTCATTTTACAAGTAAATACAAACATTATGGCTACTAAAAAAAGAAAAATTTGTGATGAACATCGTTTTATATTAATACCATTGCAGTAGGATTTAATTAATCCTAAATTTCTCAATATCATTGAACAATTAAAATACGAATTTTCAACAAGATTTGATGATTTTTATAAATACGATAAAGAAATTAAATTATTCCAGAATCCTTTTCAAGTGGACATAAATAATGTCAAGAATAATTTATTAATGGAAGTCATTGAACTTCAAAATGATGAGGTTCTAAAAAAATATTTTTGGGAAGCAACTAGTTTGCCTCAATTTTATAGTTGTCTTCCAATATCTACCTTCCCTGGAATCAGACAATTCGCACAAAAACTTATAGCGGCGTTTGCAACTACATATATATGTGAGCAGACACTTTCCATTGTGAAGCACAGAAAAAGTAATCACTCTTCGAGTGTTTTAATCGAAAATTTAACTAATAAACTTCAGACCCAGAAATTGCATTCATTTACAACTTTACAATTTTTTATTCAATTAATTTTTTTCTTAAATGCAATTTTTCTAGTAACATTTGTGTTTTTTTACTCTCATATTTCTATGTAAAATAATCAAATATAACAGCAACACAATTATAAGCTAGTATTATATCATAATATGTAATTTTTTTTTAATGTGGCCCTTGATGGAAAATTGAAAAAAAATATGGCCTGCGTGGTTGAAAAGGTTGGCGACCCCTGTTCTATGGGATGCGATACCTATTATATTCTACCTGCTTATTAAACGGACATTTTTTAATTAATTACAATTATCGAAAACTAATGGATTAAAAATGTATAGCGTATGTTTTTTTGAATTCGGGAAAAGTTTAACTTGCACATATTCAAGGTAGTATGTTGTTTTATCATTACATGGAGATGTTTAAAACTATAGATGTTGTAACTTTTGATTTAATCTAGGCTTTGGAATTTAAGTGGAATTTTGACATCTTAAACATCAATACTGACTCCCTGGGGATTACCATACAGGTTGGTAATGGAAAACTAAAAGGACGCCAGAGAAATAGCAAAACATGGATGAAGTGATGCACGCACTGTTTCTGACGCATATACCCACGGGGTGGTGCATTTTTGATAAACAAGAAGAATGTGTTCAAGAAGAAACGGATAATTTTATGAAAGACTATCAGAAGACAGCGAAAATAAAGCTAGTCGACCAGAATGTGCCAGGGAATGATAGAAATATTCAAATAAAGAATACCAAATTAGATGATAAAAATGTTTGCAGAGAAGCTGCCATGCTAAAGACATTTATTGTATGTTTGATACATGGTTCCAACCGATCAGCCTGGTATATCACAACAATTTGATCGAAAAAAAATCATACCTTCCGAACAATCTAACTTTTTGAATCAACTCTGCACGTTTAACACGACGGGTAAAGTAATTTATTAGTTGATAATAAGCAAACTAGAAATTTATCGGTGCATGGTTGAAAACCAATTTGAATTCAGAAGATTTAGAACAACAATTACGTGATAACAACGCAGTCATTTGTGAAGAAAAAAGTTGGAAAACCGGAAGGAAAACATAGGACCATCACGGAGGCAAGATATATATATATTATGTGCTATTGTAGCTCTGAAATGTAAAATATTAAATGTATTGAACACAGCCCCTTGGTAGAGGATAGACGAGGTTTTAGTATTACTAAAGTATTTCCAGGATTCTTCAATAGAAGTATCGAAGACTCTGAGCGAAAGGTTAGTATACCATTTTGTAAAAAAAAAAAAAAACAGTGGTCCTAAAACTATATATTTTTGCCATGACAGGAATTATACGTGTAAATTTACCGGCTAAAATAGAGAGTGAACGTTGCTTAAAAAGACTCAACGATGAATCTAGAAGAGTAGCAATAGACAATTGGTAATAAAGCTGGATACAAAAAAACAAATGTAGGAAGATATATAAATTGTTAACAGCTACAAGTTTATAAAAATTAACTAAGAGTCACCATGGTGAAATTACGTGTCACCCATGACTAAATAAACATGCATGACAGCCAACTCGGGTATTAATTTTCCTTTCACTGCGCATGTGTGCCGTATATATATATATATATAAAACTATTAGTTGTATATATCCATGTGTGCCCCAGACTTGGAATAAACGATAGTTTAGGTACATCCCAAATGCATTGGGGTGTTGATAAAGAACTCGTTTATTCCATGTCGATTTTGCTGAAATTCCTGTTTATTTAGTCATGGTGTCACTTATCACAGATAATCAGCAGGCACGAATGATTCCAACACGACCTGTACCAGTACAATATGGCTAATTCCCAGATATATTGTACTTACTGTATGGATACAGATGGTGCAAGATGAAAAAACAGCAAAATCAGAGTAATAATATACTTTGGAAAATTTTAGGCAAGTATTTTTCACAAGCAGAACACCAGTGAACAAAAATAATGGAGGTTGGTCAAGGACTTTAATAAGCACGTGATAAAAAAAAGGAAGAGAGTGCTCATAAGTAGAAATAACATTAACTAACTCGATACGTATGTGTGCCGAAGTTTAAAGTTGGGAGAGGCAGAGCCCTACATTAATTGATAAAGTTGTTGTAAGGGACCGGTGCGATGTGTAGGTATGCGGTCCTACAGTACCCAAACCGATGTTATGTTTATTCTTCTAATAAACGACGTGGGCCGGGAGAAAGTAACAAGCAAACAGCCATTCCTGTTTCTTGCAAAAATAAAAATATTTTTGGAATTTAGTTAATTTAAAGTTTAAGTCAAGTTTATACATTTTACATTTATTGCTCAATTAATTAAGTTTTGCACAAAAAAAAACATCGAATTGTGAAAAGCATGTGAAGACGATACCATTGCAATCTCTGCGGATGGTATATTATGTACCTACCATACTATATATTATATGTTTATATATTCAATTAAATTCACGCTATATTATTTTGGATACATAGGGCATAAATATTTCGTCGGAAGCGATCGTAGATGATTTATTTGTGAAGTAGGGATGTGCAATGAGAACCATGGTTAGATGTTTTAGGTTCCATAACGGAAAGGTTTTTGACCATTGTGATGTATGTCATATGACATATAAGTATATAACCAAAATTGTGTTGTGTATAGGTAGAGCAGAACTGCATACCGTTTACTGTCTGTTTAAGTTAAATATAAATCTTATAAAATGTTTTAAAATACATTTCATTCAATTCCCACGTTTTAATGCATGTATTTGAATTAAAATAAATTTTAAGAATATTTTAGATGTCTGCTTACTGCTACAATTGATTTACATATTCGGGACACAAATGGAATCTTCCGATCTGTAGAATGAGCTGTTTGGGATATTTCCATATTAAACTCTGGCTAATTAGTTTTTATCTTATACATATTGCATACATTTAGGTTTTCAAATAAAAATAACCATAAAAAAAAAAAAAAAAACAATAGAAATAAATGGCTGTGATAGCGGAGGGAAAAAAAAGTAATGGATGATTTGTCGGATGGTTTAGTAAGTTGGCTGAAAAGTGTTGGAAATAGATGATGGAACGGTCCCTTGTTGAACATTATATTGTATTTTTCTTTTATTTATAATTTATAAAGCTTGAAAAATATAACAATAATTTAAAAATTGTAGGAAACTATTGATTTTTTGATACTTTAATCCAAAAAATAATAATAACGGACAGACATAAAATCCAATGTACATTTTTCATTGTTATTTACTGAGTAATAGCCATTATTCACAACACAATATCAATATAAACAATTACCTACAATGTATTTTATTTAATATGTGTATTTAAAATATATTAATGTTTTATAAGTAATTAAATTAATATAACATATAAATTTATATCACGATAGAATTTTATTCAACTTGTGAACATTCAAGACTTGAACACTAAAAAAATATTAAGTCTGTAAGATAAATATTGGATAAATATTTAAATTTAATGAACAATTTCAAATTTAGGACCATTGGATGTAATAAGTATATGGTGTACTCTTTACCTACTTAATATAATGTGTATTGTTTGCTCTAAATTTTAAAACTATTTCATATAATATTTTTGTATATTCTGTTAATAGATTAATTGCAATATTCGAAAGATTAGAAATTAAATATAAAGTGTTTCATTTATTTTTTTAATTAAACTATTATCCCAGAACTTGTTATTATTATTGCTGTCATAAACTTGAAAATATATAGGAAAAGTTTTAAAATAAAAGTTGATAACAATTTTAAACTATACTAACTTATGTTAAATTATGTTGATAGCGAACTAGTATGCAAGAAAATGTCCGACATTTTCCATTCATCAAAATATGACCAACACAATGCTATGGAAAATATCGCCTGTTGTTTCTACAAATGTGTTGTGAACTTTATTCGATTAGACATAAAACTTTTTACTTATTTCAAGTCAGTAAACAATGACTTGTTCTTGACCAACAGCCAAGAAAGTCAAATTTATGTTTATACTGGTCTGACGATATATTTTTCCAACCCAAACTGTTTTTCTAAAATAAAGACAATATTTAGTACATAATATAATATATTATGGTATATTATTTACAGAAAAATAGCCTAGCGCATTTCATTGAAATTTACTGCACAACAATACCCCTCATAATATTATGATAAATTATATTATTATCATTACTGTACAAATATTTTAGTGGTTATTTGGTCAGTTTTTTAGTCAACCACTCTATTATCACTATAATATCGAGGAAATAATATTAATAGTTCAATTTTTAAAGTTACTGAAAAACTACTTATTAAGTTTACACGATTTTGGTATTCCACGGATCACCACGGAAACCAGCGAACTCGTGATATGTATTTTATCATCCGTTATCATAGCCTTACTAGTTACTACATGAGCGTTGTGCCTCACAGGTGCAAAGTTATCGGACGTGGTAGTGCAGTAGGTTTGCCAAAATAATAATCCATATAGGTTAGGTAAGTGGTGGGTAGTGTGGGTCAATTTTGAAAAGAAAGGATCGCTTATACAAGAAAGTGAAAACTTAATGATATAGAAAGAAAAGTTTCCGTAGAAAAGTTTTACAGTGGAATATCAAACGATCAAATTACACGAAGCTAAAATGGAGAAAGTAATAATAATGCCGAAAACCATTTTTATATTATGCTCATAGGATCAATAGATGCGTGTTTATTTTTTCTCAAGTGATAAATTTCGTGGCTGGAAGTTAAATTTTGTAGAAACCATTTGGAATTCCTTACCAGAAAAAAATTCAACTAACGATAATTTGGCTGTAGTGACGTTTAGTAATTTATGACAGTAATGATGGAAAGTACCTATATAGAGAGTTTAAAATTGTGTAAAATTTATTTTAGATATAATTACCAATTCACTTACGTCTTCTTAGCGTGCAATATAGTTGTAGAATAATAATAAGTAGGTATCAAACATATTAAAATTTAATAAACATCAATTGTTTAAATACTAATAAAAAATCAAATTTTAGCTGATGAAGTGAAAACAAAATAAAAATATTATTCACTCCTCAACATTAAAAAAAAAAAAACAACACAAAATATAAAACAGATAAAACAGCCTAGAATTATAAAGTTCAATCAATGGACCCCCCCATCTTTCCTTCAAGCTGTCAAGTCATGTATACTTTTACCCCCTCCCCCACCCAAAAATATATTAACTATTATATAGTTTTTATTATGGATTGTATATAATATATTCTTGTTTGTTCTAATAAAAAAAAATACGTTTTATATTATGATATTCCAATTCTAAGAAAAATAATAAATTGATTAAAAATTTGTTTAGTTAAAGCTAAGTTTAGACCACCGATCAAAGTAGAAAATGTTGATTTAGGTTATTCTAATATCATACTATATAATATATTATGGTATATAGGTTTATCATTTATCTATATTGTAATTTATTTATATATTTATATAAGGACGTGGCTCCCATAACATAATTTTACAATGTCAGCAAAATATACCAAGCAATATTGGTGTAGAGGAATAGACCAAATTATTATAATATAAATATAATATCTATTTAATATATAGTACCTTTATACTATTAATAATTGTTTGAAGTTTAAATTGTATGAGTAGTCATAATAAATCATATAAAGTTATAAATGTAAATTTCCTCACGATTTTTAATACATATTCAATTTTAACATTAATTTATTACAATCAATTTTACGATAAAAGATAAATGTATGTGGAAATTAAGACTGAAAAAATAAAATTCAAAACTGCCATCGCCGTTAGAAAATTGAAAGCAACAAAAAAAAAGAAACAAAAACAAATCACGAATATTTCCAGAGACACAGTCG